GAGAGAGAGAGAAAAAGAGAGAGAGAGAGAGAGAGAGAGAGAGAGAGAGAGAGAGAGAGAGAGAGAGAGAGAGAGAGAGAGAGAGAGAGAAAGAGAGAGAGAGCTAGTCCTCGAGCTTATGATCACCATCAGTTCATGTTGTAGGCAGGTTTTCTTCTATCATGAGTACCATCATTGTCTTTAACTTGCCACAATTACATATTTTTGGATTTGTCATTTCCACTAGGCCACACCCTTTGACCTTGCTTGTTCTTCGTGCACATTATGTGTTGTTCGTTTGTTTTTTGGATATTTAAATTCGTTTTTTATTATGTTGCAAGATTCTTCACGATGGCGGTGCAACTTTGTATTGCTTAACAATGCCCGGTTCGGGGTAGAGACAAGCTGTGACTGCGTGGCATTGCTTGCATACATCCTCCAAATAGTTACCTCAAACATATGTTCACATTCTGAGCTCAGCCCTGTGCATGCAATCGACGACCAAACAATGAGGACCCACCATCAATGGCAGACCCACCAATCACACTTGACACAAATGTCGTGAGACGGACAATGGCAATACAAGAACACCGATGCGAATTTGTCACGGGAAGCAATGACAACAAGGAGTGCGATCATCCCAAATTCACTTTCTCAATTGTTCGGCACCGAAAGCAAAAATAGAATACACTGTCGTCTTTTACAGATTTCGATCCAAAAGACCCCGAACCAGCGAATACACGCCTGCGTCGTTGACACCATGACCCAACACCTCTCCCGTTCAGACAGACCGCTCACTACCCCCCGGCCCTGAAGACACAACAGTACACATAAACCGGAACACCGTGCGAAAGACACGAACAACTACACTGGAAGGACGGGCTGGTGACAATCTATTTATAGCCCTCTATTTAATGCGACACTATTTAGAGCCGGTGGACGAAGTAGGCTCCATACTCATCGACCTCTGAAGGCGATCTGCAACAACTGCCACATCACGCCGGTTCACGTCCGGTGACATGGCCGCTGACACTAACGGCGACCTACCACCTGACGGCACGGACACACGCCTATGTGGAGGTGTTCGGTGCGCATTGTCCGGAAGTAAATTGCTCAGGGATAGGGTGACGCTCGCGACGGTCCTTCCTCGCCTACCCCAGGGCTCTGCACAGTGCTCACGTAATCATCACAATGCGGCCCTGAATTTTGCGACTCCCCTTCGTGCATTGCCAATTGCTGCTCTAAACGTGCCACCTCTTCCCGCAACACAACAATCGTCCTCTCTGCAGCTTCTGCTTTGGAAACTGCCACACCCGCTCTCATGGCAGCTTTGTCCACCTCCTCTCGCAAACGCTTCAACTCCTCCACCATAGCAGACACGCGTGTGAACAGAACATCTCGCTTGCGGGCGAGCTCATGTGCCTGTTCAATCAACCGTCTGTCGGTCAAGGCGAAATCAGCCGCCATGTCCACGACTTCGCTCACGCCGCGAAGCGGAGAGGATGAAATCCCTCCTTCCTGTCGTCGTTCTGCCCCCCTGACCAGATACCTACAACAAGGCCATCACGCCCGCCACATGCGGATGGACAACTGTCAGATGGATAGCTCCTCCCCCCCCCCCCCCCCCCCCCGCAAAAAACAACAGCGGAAAAAAAAACCAAATTTGAAAACATAACGTGGCATCGCAAAAATAGGTTCGAACTTGTTACGCGCGGAATCATCCGTCTGTCACCGATGCCGAAATCACCGAATGTCACACCGTCTCACACGTGCGCATGTCACCGACGCCGAAATCGCCGAATGTCATCGTCCGGGTCCCACTGTTGCACCAGTCTCTGCAGGTAAGGTCTTCCTCTCAGCGGGTGTTCCAAAACAGTGTTGTACGAAGCGTTGTCCACCATTTCACCCTCGTGGTCATCCGCTATGACCGACATCACATGCCGGATAATATCCCCCGCATTGTCACGCTGATTACAATCCCAATCGTCCGGGATGATGTTATGCAGTTTCTTCGCAAAAGAGATGACATCGGAGAGACGGTCATCATTGTCGTATCCAAGCGCCGCCAGAATCTCCATTGCATACAACCCGCTCACATGCACGTCGTACCACTTGTCAGCATAAGCGGTGACGTCCGGGCTGAACACCATCTCCGACGGGTGCTCGCAAAACGGACTGCGCAGCACCCACTTCACCACTACCAGACGGCCGTCGATAATGCCATCGAAGATTCTACGCACTTTCATCTCTCTGCCTGGTAAACCGTAGGCAGAGAGGGAGAAGAGGACAACAAACGAGGGATTGTGACAAATTGTTTCGTCGGAGTTTCACCGACTCATCAGGAGGCTGAACCCTCAACAGTCTGCAAAATCCCCTCATTGATTACACTGTAAGTGATAATCCACCTTAACCAAAATCAAAGTAGACTATCACTCACCCACACCAGATGGAAAACTCTACAGACTGTTGGTTCACACCCCATCACAAGCCAGCAAAACACCCACGAAACAAAGAAAGGTCTGTCACAGCCAAAAAATACACTCCAAACACGCCGCTGGCACTAGAGGGACAGCATGGCCGCGTAGTGACGGCCCCGACCACTGCCGCTCGACCTGACCGGAAAAAACCGTAGCAGGAAGTTAGCGAAGTCGTAGTATATATCGTCAAACAGAACTGCCCGGTAAACCGTAGGCAGAGAGGGAGAAGAGGACAACAAACGAGGGGCTGTGACAAACTGTTTCGTCGGAGTTTCACCGACTCATCA